CGCCCCCAGCGCCCCCCCAGCCCCGCTCGCCCCAGCGTGAGCCGCAGCGCGTGTCCCACGAGCAGTTCCGAGCCGCCCTGCAGATGGTGGTGGACCCCGGCGACCCCCGCACCTACCTGGACAACTTCATCAAGATCGGCGAGGGCTCCACTGGCATCGTCTGCCTGGCCACAGTGCGCAGCTCTGGCAAGCTGGTGGCCGTCAAGAAGATGGACCTGCGCAAGCAGCAGCGCCGTGAGCTGCTCTTCAATGAGGTACGGGGTGGGCCTTGGGGCCGGGCATGTGGAGCTTTAGGTTCCCTGGGGCCATGTGCATGGAGCTGGAGGTTCCTTGGGGCCATGTGCATGGAGCTGGTGGTTCCTTGGGGTTGTGTGCATGGAGCTGGAGGATCCCTGGGGCTGTGTACATGGAGCTGGAGGTTCCTTGGATCCATGTGAATGGAGCTGGAGGATCCCTGGGGCTTTGTGCATGGAGCTGGATATTCCCTGGGGCCATGTCCATGGAGCTGGTGATTCCTTGGATCCATGTGCATGGAGCCGGAGGATCCCCGGGGCTGTATGCGTGGAGCCGGAGGATCCCTGGGGCCATGTGCATGGAGCTGGAGGTTCCCTGGGGCCGTGTGCATGGAGCTGGTGGTTCCTTGGATCCATGTGCATGGAGCCGGAGGGTCCTCGGGGCTATGTGTATGGAGCCGGAGGATCCCCGGGGCTGTGTGCATGGAGCTGGAGGTTCCCCAGATCCATGTGTGTGGAACTAGACGATCCCCGGGTCCATCTACATGGAGCTGGATATTCCCTGGGGCCATGGGCATGAAGCTGGCAGTTCCTTGCATCTGTGTGCACAGAGCTGGATGTTCCTTGGATCTGTGTGCACAGAGCTGGGCATTCCCTGGGTCCGTGTGCATGGAACTGGACGTTCTCTGGACCCATGTGCACAGAGCTGGGCATTCCCTGGGTCACAGAGTTGTAGAGTCCTGGAGCTGTGGGGCTGGAAGGGACCCACAGGGGTCGCATCCAGTCCAGCCCCCGGCCCGAGGCAGGATCATCCCAGACAAATCCAGCATTGAACCTCTGAGCAACATGACCATCAGCCCTGACACCGCACTGGGCATTGCCCCTGCCTCTGCCCCTGAGAAAGCAGGGGGGCCGTGGGGGGCAACATCCTGCCGCTGCCGCCTCCGCCGCCAAGGGGGGTCATGGACACTGCAGAGAGCCCAGGCAGAGGCTGTGCACCCACTTGAGAGGGAGGGGAAACACCCCCAGTCTGGACCAGTCTGACCAGGGGGAAATCCCTTCCTGCCCCAGTGCAGTGTGGGGCTGAGCCTGAGTGCAGGGCCAAGACCCTCCAGCCAGGACCCCACAGGGTTGGTGCCAGCAGGAGCATTGGCACAGCCCAGCCCCATCCCCTGCAGCCAGCGCCCTAAAACCCCCCCTGACACGTGGAGCAGAAGTGGGACCATGTGCACAGAGCTGGGCATTCACAGGGCACGGGTCAGACGTGCCTGAGGCCCCGTGTGCCCAGAGCTGGATGTCCCCCAGGCCACACGTGTACGGCTTGCACGTGTCTGGGGCCCATGCACGTGGAGCTGTACGTGCTCAGGGGCTTTTAAACCGCCTCCACCCCATCTCATGGGGGCAGCAGATGGCTCCACAGCCCTTCTAGGACCGCCCCCACCCACAAGGTGCTCTTCCTACCTGGGTATGGGGGGCTAAGGGTGTCTGGGCTCCTGGGCCTGATCCTATCCGGGCCTTGGGGGTCCATCCCAGCCCCCCAGGCTCTGCTGCCCCATGCCCCGCCCACATCGGCACCAGGTGCTGTACGTTGCCGGGTATCCCCCCTCCCAGCCCAGCCTGACCCCCGTGCCCCCCATGCAGGTGGTGATCATGCGGGACTACCAGCACGAGAACGTGGTGGAGATGTACAACAGCTACCTGGTGGGCGACGAGCTCTGGGTCGTCATGGAGTTCCTGGAGGGCGGTGCCCTCACCGACATCGTCACCCACACCAGGTGCGCCGGACGCCTGGGTTCCCTCCCAGCTCTGCCCCGGGGTGTCGGGGAGGGGGTGACGGGGACCCCGGATGCCTGGGGCCTCTTCTCAGCTGTGCCAAGCTGTGGACACACGGTTGGTTGGGGCTGGGGAGGGCACGACCAGCCCCCGGACTCCTGGGTTCCCTTCCAGCTCTGGGGCTGAGCGCAGGCTCTCCACTAAAGCTGGGGGGTGATGACAGGGTCCCTGGACCGCCGGGTTCCCTTCCCTGAATGGTGCCCCCCCTCACAGGATGAACGAGGAGCAGATCGCGGCCGTGTGCCAGGCCGTGCTGCGGGCGCTGTCCGTGCTGCACGCGCAGGGCGTCATCCACCGCGACATCAAGAGCGACTCCATCCTGCTCACCCACGACGGCCGAGTGAGGACGCC